GGGCCCCCGAACTGGACACAGTACGTCAAGTGGGGTCCCAGGAGAATAGAGGGGGACTGCCATTGCCTTTGACGCACTGGTCACACTTCATTTTATGCAGCCCAGGATATGATTTGCTTTCTGGGCTGCAAGCTCACTTTGTCAGCTCATGTTCAATTTTTTGTCCACCATTACCCTCAAGCCCTCTTTGCAGGTCTGCTCTCAATCCATTAATCCCTCAGTCTATATTCATATTGTGGATTGCCCTGATGCATGTGCAGGACCTTGCACTTGGCCTTGTTGAACTTAATGAGTTTCACATGGGCCCAATTCTCAAGGCTGTCAGGGTCCCTCTGGATAACATCCCTTCCCTCCAGCAAATCAACTGCATCACTCAGCTTGGTGTTATCTGCAAACATGCTGTGGGTGCACTCAATCCCACTCTCTTTGTCATTGATGAAGACATTAAATACAGTTGGTCTCAGTACAGACCATTGAGGGACACCCCTCATTACTGGTTTCCACTTGGACATTGAGTAAAAGTCTTTGAATGCAGCCATCCAGCCACTTCCTTATTCATCTAACCGTCTGTCTGTCAAACCCACATCTCTCCAGTCTAGCAGCTAGAGTGCTGTGAGGAACAATATCAATGGCCTTACACAAGTCTAGATGGATTGCATCCATAGCTCTTCCCTTGTCTACTGAAGCAGTCAGTCCATGTAGAAAGTCACTAGACTAGTCAGCTGACTAATAATGAACAGTGGAGTGAGAAATACATTCTGAGCATATCAGCACAGCTGGAACCCCTCTACAGAAGGCACAGGGAGAAACTGAGTCTCCAGGGAGTGCTCTACCCAGGTGAAGAGCATTTCTTCTTTCCAGAACCTTTAAAATTTGCATTGGTATTTCTCCTCAGGCATGTGCATGAATAGAACCTATGATAGCACTGCTAAAAACCACATTTACATCTCAGTAATTATGCTGGCTAACCTTTGCTCCTAATGAAATCCTAATTCTCTGTTTCAGCATAGTGCTGTTTAGCAGTCCTTTTTTCATTATTGTTTCCCCCCCCCTCAAAAAAAAAAGGACAAACAAAAACCCCCCACTTTCTTCAGTATTATCTTTTGAAAAGAAATCTTTGAATATACACACATTCCCACCCTCAGAACAGATGTTGCACCTCCTGTATAATTTGATCATTTGTTTAGTTTTACAAGCAAAAATGAATTTGTTCTTGCCAAACCTACACTAAGATTAACCTCCACAACTCCTGCAACTCATGTAAATTTAAATGTTTTCCAAGGCCTGAAACCACACCATTGCTTATTCCTCTCACCCACTTCTAAACTTCCCTGTGACTTGTGATTTCAAGAATACACTTTCACTTGTGGTGTCTCATCTGTCTAAAACTTGTTTCTTTTTCTCCCTACGTCACTGAATCATTTCTTCAAATCTCACCTTAAAACCTCCCTGCTCTCTTTAACCTATGATTTACAACCTCTGGAAAACATTTCAGTGATATCCTTTATGAAGCATGCACAGTAAAAAGGAAATTTATTGTAGTCTTGTTGAAGCAAGCTATACTTGCAGTACCTGTGACTATGAATTAAGGGTCCTAGAGGGTCCATTCAAGACAGATTGACCATTGCAGAATCTATTGAAGTCTGAGCATTTACTTTCACTCACCTGAAAACCTCATAGCTACACCCTTGCAGGCTTCTAGGCTGTCATCTTTCTTCTTGCCTTTGACCTCATAACTTTACTCCTGATGACAGATGACACCACTGAGTTTTGCCCATCTTCAACAAGGTGCCTATTTTGGGCCCAGTAGAACTGAAGAAAAGGATGTAGTTCCCTTATCTCTCCCACCAGTGACCAGCATCATTTCCCGCATCCTGACCTTTGATACTTTGCAGAGAGAGCAGCAGTAGAAATTTAAAAATCACAGCACTCTTTTGTTCGATCTAACTAAATGAAGGATGAAATTTTTTTAATTGTCACCTTATCTAAGCAGTCTGAAAGATGGTAGATTTAGGTGTCTATTAAAAGACAAAGACAAACAATTTGATACAATATCGGTTCTATTCATTTCAGTGTGAGGATGTGGGGAGGCAAACCCACAAAGGCAGATGGGCTACACAGTGAGGGTGAGCTCTAAGAAAACATGTGTGTGAAAATTTGTAGGGTGGTGTGGCACAAACAGTATCATCCAGAAACTCATGCAAATAGTACCTATTTATAAGGCTACTATTCCTCCCCATTCAAAATGAACTAATCCTTGTAGCAGGTAATTATCTGTATTACTGTTGAAAAGGCCATTTAAATCTAGCTGTTTTGTTAGATCAGCTAAACATTTTTGCCCATGCTTATTTTTATACCTTGGAATAGTCTTGGGATGAAACTTTTAATTTTTTTATTTCACTGACACTTGCTTGAAATTTTTTTTTAAATTTCTTTGAGTAAGAATTTGAATAGAGGAGGAAGGATACCTGCACTGATGGGCAAGGAGATGCTGAAAAAAAACACATGTGGAAGAAAGAAGTTCACAGTATGTGGAAAAAGGGATTAGGCACTTGGGAGAATTATAGCAATGCTGTCAGGGTACGTAAGAAGGTAACAAGGAAGGCCAAAGCCCTGTTGGAATGAAATCTAGCAAAGGAAGTAAAAGAGAGTAAGAAAGGCTTCTTCAAATGCATCAGCAGTAAAAGGAAGAATAGGGAAAATGTGGGCCCAGTGCTGAATGAGGTGGGAGTCCTGGTAACAAAGGATGCAGAGAAGGAAGAGTTAGTGAACACCTTCTTTGCCTCAGTCGTTACTGCTAAGACCAGCCAGTGAGAATCCCAGGTGCTGGAAATAAGAGAGAAAGCCTGGAGGAAGGTCAATAGGGACTGGGTTAGAAATTTGGGTAAACTGAACATGCACAAATCCATGGGCCCTGATAGGATGCACACATGAGTGCTGAGAGAACTAGCTGCACTGTCCATCATTTTTGAAAAGCAGGAGAGGTGCCTGAGGACTGGTAGAAAGCCAATGTCACTCCAGTCTTCAAAAAGGGCAAGAAGTAAGATCCAGGAAACTACAGACCAGTCAGCCTCACCCACATTGCTGGAAAGATGATGGTGCAGCTCATTCTGGAGGTCAACTCTAAGTACATGGGTCAAAAGAAGTTTATTAGCAGTAGCCAGCATGTATTTACCAAGGGGAAATCATGTTTGGCTAATCTGATAGTCTTCTATGATGATGTGACTGAATGGGTAGATGCAAAGGATGTTGTCTACCTTAACCTTAGCAAGGCTTTTGACACTGTCTCCCATGATATCTTCATGGGTAAGCTCAGGAAGTGTGGGTTGAAAAAGTGGATGGTGAGATGGATTGAGAACTGGCTAAGCAATAGAGCCCGGAGGGCAGTGATCAATGCTGCAGAATCCAGTTGGGGACCTGTAACTAGTGGAATTCCCCAGGGGTCAGTACTGGCTACAGTCCTGGTTACAGTTCAACATCTTCATCAACAAACTGGATGAGGGGACAGAGTGTATCCTTATCAAGTTTGCTGATTATATAAAACTGGGAGGATTAGCTGATACACAGGAAGGCTGTGCAGCCGTTCAGCAAGATCTGGACAGACTGGAGAGCTGGGCAAACTGGAATGTAATGAGGTTCAACAAGGATAAGTTTAGAGTTCTGCACCTGGGGAGGAATAACACCATGCACCAGTACAGATTAGGTGTTGACCTCCTGGAAAGCAGTTCCATGGAGAAGTATCTTGGAATCGTGATGGGCAATCAGTTATCCATGGGACAGCAATGTGCCCTTGTGGCCAAGAGGACCAATGGGATCCTGGGGTGCATTAAGCGTCTCCAGCAGATCAAGGGAGGTCATGTTTCCCCTCTGCTCTGTCCTAGTGAGACCCCACCTGGAGTATTGTGTCCAGTTCTGTGCTCTCCAGTTCAAGAGGGACAGCAATTTACTTGAGAATCTGATAGAGGGCTACAAGGATGATTAAGGGACAGGAACATCTGTCTTATGAGGAAAGGCTGAGAGACCCAGGGCTGTTTAGTCTAGAAAAAAGACTAAGAGGGGATTTTATTAATGTATACAAAAATATCTGAAGGGTGGCTGTCAAGAAGGAGGGGCCAGTCTCTTTTCAGTCATGCCCTGTGATAGGGCAAGGGGCAACAGAAACAAACTACAAACTACACCTCAACATAAGGAAAAACTTCTTTACTGTAAAGGTGATTGAGCATTAATTGGGCTGCCCAGAGATGTTGTGGAGCCTCCTTTCCTGGAGATTTTGAAGACTCTGAAGACCCATCTTGATACTTTTCTGTGTAGCTTGCCCTAGGTGATCCTGTTCTGGCAGGGGGATTGTGCTTGACAATCACCAGATGTCCCTTCCTACCCCTACCATTCTATGATTCTACAATTTTCAAGCCTTTTGTACTGGTCAAAGCACTAGAAATGGAAGAAGAAAATTCCAGTTCACATTCATGTGAGTCCCAGAGTTCTGACCTGAAGGAAACAGTGTGAATATTTCAGGCTTGTCATACATTTTTCCATGTTGATAATACATGGGTTGGAATATATTTAATTGTGTGCATTTTCTGTGTGCATTGTCAGTAACAACAATAAGTAGCTAAAATAAAGAATTGATCTTTTGTGTAGGTCCAGTGCATCCAGGACAATTATGCCTAGCATTTATTCCAGCTTTGATTCCTTTAATTCTGAAGGTGCCATCATTCTTTAAACTGATTTCAGCTCTTGAGAGTTCATGTAGCTTGTGACCAAACTGTCTTGCAACTTCTGTAGGTTGTTACCACTTAATTATTGCAGGTGTCGCAAAAGCAGCATAAGGGAATGTAAAATATTACAGAAGAAAGTTAAATCACAACAAGATTTCTACTTGATTTATAAGCAATAGAGTTTGGAACTCTTTTTTTTTTTCTTTTTTTTCTTTTTTTCTTTTTCTTTTTTTTTTTTTAATACATACACATCAAAACAAGTAAATAAAATCAAATACTCACTCCTGTTATGTAACGAGGTCTATACTGGATCGTTCCAAATAAGCCAAGTATGACTATAATAATGTGTATGAAATTTGCCAGTATGGGTGCCCACTGATAACCAAGGAAGTCAAATATCTGCCTCTCCAGCACAGAAACCTATGATTTAAAAGCAAAAGAATAAATAGATTAGAACAGACTATAAAATATCTATTAGGACATTTCCCCTTCCCATAGCCAAGATAATTGCTCTGAGTTAAAAAAATACTTCAGTCAGCAGTGAAATGAAATGAGTTTGCAGTGTTTCACCTTCTTGTTTTAATGAAAGCTGCATTTCTCACTGACAGTTTACTAAATTATATTCAGTTAGCTAAATTATTAATGTGGGCAATTCTACTGAGATACTAAACTGTTCACTAGGATGGTATGTTCGCATCAGGAGAAGGACAAATAATTTTGTTATATATACCAGCAAATGCTATAACATTCTGGGGTATTGGTGCTGAAAGTAAGTGGCAGGATTATGACATCTTCTGAGCTACTTTGCGTCCATTCACAAACACCATCCTACAGACTACTCCTGTCCCTTTACGTCCATTGTTTCCCTACGTTTTGATTTTTTCTCTTCCCTCTATCCCTAGCTATCCTGTCAGTGGACTTTAACCTGTATCCAAAAGTATGCAACTTTTTGACCTGGTTCCACTGATAATTACTTTAATTTACCACCTCTCACTGTCACAAACATCAGGTGAAGTATAAGCTGTTACCCAACACTTCAGATACTTAATTTTAAAAGTGAATTAAGGTACAATCTAGAGCTGTTGACTACTGTTTTCAAGCAATACCATCCTGAGCAGACAAAACAGAAGGTAGAGAAACTGCATTTCTAACAGTAGAAATTATTTCAGAATTCAAATAGTACGTGTTCTTAACCAGTGTTTAAATATTAAATCAAAACACAGCATTGCACCCCAACCCATAGGCAGAATGGCATGTTTTGATAAAAACAATTGTTTTGATAAAAAACAATTTCACTAACTGGAATGGTGAACAGATGAGTTTCACGAAGATATGGATAATTAAATAAAAATAATGACAATAAAGACAATGTCAACACCACACACACACAAGAGAGAAAGAAAAAGCAGGTTGTTTCTTTATCAAGTTTCATTAAATGACAAGTGACTATTTACTCAATTAATATTAAACCATGGTCTAATTGAATTAGGTGCATCTGCTACAGACTCCATTAATTTAAAAAAATAACACATTTAGAGATTAAGTACTAAATGAATAATTTACTGCTGATCACCACTTTTCTTGTCCAATATGGCTATGGGAGAGATTTTCAGTTATCATCCTGTAGTCCACTCCAACACCAACACTTTATTTGTGAAATTAAGCAAGAAAGCTTGCCCTTAGGCCAGCCTACACTTACACCAGTATTGCAAATGCAGAGAGTGTTAATTACTTAGTACTTACTGGTATATGTTGGACTTTAAGATAGGGATTCTCAAAATAACCCTGGGGAAATTTTTTACCGGTATAATTTTGAAATTGAAAGCTCAGGGTTTCATGTCAAACACTGAATTCCCCTCTGCAACTAAAATTCCTTTCACAAAATGCATCCAGATTTTAGCCAGTCTTGGTATTTTGTCTAACATTTTATTGTACAGATTTATTGACAGAAAGATACTCTGGTCCTATATCATCCCAGATATTAATGATCTGATTTGTCTTACCCTTCAACTCTCCATAGCAAAGCAACATCATAGAAGAGTTCTCAGAATCCCAACACATGACATTCTAATGGTGACAGTGGGATGAAGAAAGAAAAGGAAGGCCAAACTGTACCAGGAACTTAACGAAATCTCAGACTCCCTGTGCTTCTGAGTTTATCATTAAGAAATATTTCCTTGACTACTGACAAAGTTATTTATATAAAAAAAAACAACCAGTATGTGTCATATATCAGTACTACATATGTCTATGTGAAGTCTATTAGGAGTATAAGTAAAAGACCATGCTACACCTTAAGTGCTGCTTAATAGTTAACAAAGGGAAAATGGTCCCTCTGAAAATAGAGCTCCTATTTTCATCATCTGAATAAGGAGTAAATGAAAATAGCAAAGCAGTAGCAAAATGAATCTAGACTGTACAAGTTTCTAGTATAGTAACAGCAGGGAATCAGCAAGTAAAAAAAAAACCAAGGGATGAGGCAAATCATTCAACCAGTAGGAAATCATACAGTTAAGCATGCCAATTATAGAGGGAAATTGCAGCACTCTAGTTAATTATATAAAAAAGTAGAAAACCCTAATATTCCTGCTACAACTTAAGGTTGAAAGGAAACTGCACTATCATGCATCAAGGACATTTTGGTTTGTTTTGTTGGGGTTTTTTTGTGAAAAACTTGCTATGAGGCTGTGCTGAATAAATGGCTATTCTGTGCAAATCTGTGCTCCCCTTTTGCCAATGTCCTACTATTTTAAAATTATTATTTTTTTTTTTAATTTTGAAGACCAGCAATTTCATCAGTGCCAAGTAACCACTCCCTCAGATTTTGTGACCATGTTGAAACTTTCAGTGGGGGGACCTACCATAAAACATGGCACACAAGGCAGTGGGCAAATACCAGCTGTGCAGAACAAGGAGACAAGTCTGCACCACCTCTGTCCCTGTGTATCTACCTCACGTTTGCCAGAGGCAGACTTGCTATTAGTCTTTCTCCTGTCACTCCAAGGAATCAGCTATGTGTGGGGACTGCTGGATATGTGAAATGACAGTGTTCTGGTAGGCTGGGCAGAGATAAAATTCTGCAGAAATGCAGCTGCTGTTCCTTAGAATATCAGACTGCTGCAGCAAGGTGCATGGCAGATTTATCACATGGAAAAATAGGACAGAGCTAGATCTTTATTCCCACTTATTGAAGAGATGATGGTGGAGAGAAAATAAAAACAACCCACAAACAAACAAAGACAATATGGACTTACTACAGGCAGTGACTAAAAAAATAATCTCATTTGCTCTGTGCTTCTAAAAGGGGAAAAGTGAAAAGCAGGACAAAGTAATGACAACATATATTTTCACCAGTACTACACAGCTTCCTCCTCTTCCACAGGTGCCAGAATCATAAGGAACTTCCTTACATAGCAAGAGAAAATATAGACCTGATTTTGAAAGATTATGTTTTACTTTATTTTTAAAAAAATTTTTGGTTAAACAACTGCACTTCTTTCTCCATATCCTGTCCACCAGCTTCAAATGTGTAATGGTGTTTCAAGGACATTACAAAGAAAAAGGGAAGGACTGACAAAGAAATATTAATCTTTAAAGTCTAGGAATAAATAAAGAATTGTCTGTTTTCTTTCTTCTTCTGGAAACAAGAGTTTAAAATGAGAATAGGAGAGAGGAAAATATAGATGCTTTAGATTAAAAAGTACACTATGGTAAGAAAAATGTTTTACTTCAGCTTCATTTTAACAATGCAGTGAACCCAAAATGTAGGGTTATGGAGAGTTAGCTCCTAGAGTTAGAAAATAAACATCCACTACATCTTCCTCTTAGGCTTCCAAGTAAATCATTGATAAAATTACATAAGAGTTAAGTGTAATTACAGTGAACTATCTTTACTAATGCATTTTTTCCGGACTTCTGCTAACTCTTTTAAAAATAAATACAAAATAAAATCAGCCTGTATACTGTCAAGTTGGAATAGCTCAAACTATTTCCAGATTCTTGTCAGAGACTGGTTGTTAATAGGTTAACAGTGTTACTGACCTTGAGGGATCTAAGAATTGAATTTCCAGAGGATAAAGAAAACCATTTGAGATGATTCTTAAAGTATATGATTGGACTAAAATTTCAGACAGGAACCACAAAGGAGAAACCAGTCAAAAGATGATTTATAACACAAACTCCAAAATGGAAAATGACAAAATGCCTTTCCTTTGAAAGCTCCTTGAGAAGAAACTCAACCACGACTACTTCATAATGATACAAAATCAAAACTTTTCATTGATATAAATTAAAGTGCATACAGGCACACACATACAAGTGGGTATGTCTGGCTCCTGCCAGCCTGGGCAGCACATACAGCACCGAGGCACCCAGTACTCTGGGGTCTGGGGCAGGGTCACACTCAACTGATGGGGTCCCCAGCTAAGTCATGGTAACAGGCTCTCAGTGCACTCTAAAGGAAGAAGAGAATATTAGCTTAAATTGCAGTGAAGGAGAATTAAGCAACCATAGCTTAGACCATGACTGGTGCAGGCTAAGAATGAGCTACTGAAATTAAGCTCTAATCAGTAACTCATTAAGTCCCCTCAGCTCAATTGTATTGCTCAGATGCCCTCAGCTTCTAATCATTTGCTTGTTTTTTTAAGTTAGACACACAGGTTTTTAATGACTTTCAGGTCTTGGTTCTATGGCATAGAAAGCTAAAAAGAGCCCAATAAATGAAAGCATTTTGGGCCTGCAGCTTAGGAAATAATTCTAATGCTGAAGCCTACCTGCATCACACACAATATCCTCAGCTAACCCTTCCCCAGCACTTCCATCATTTTGAGGCAGAATGCATATATTTGTGCCATTCCTTAGAGAGGTTAATTTAATTTTTCATCAAAATTTCAGATAGCATCCTGAGATAGAGGACACAGTTATTTAATGAATTCTCCACAGTCACACAGCAGAAAAACATTGATATTTTGAAAGTCAAATCCATACAAAATACACCTACACATCTGCAAGTCTGCATGTGCATGTGAGTCAAGTCCTTCACTGCAAGACAGGAGGGAAAGAAAAAAAGTTGTTTGTTTTTTTCTGTAAGAAGAGTGGCAAAGCTAAAATGAAGTTCTATGAAGAGCTGTCCACACAATGGTGTTCTCAGCACATCTAATAAAAAGCACCACAAGCACAGGTAATTCAAGTTAAAATCAAGAAGGAATTAGTTTGCAGCTGTCCACTGGTTCCTTGAAGGAATCACAAATATAATACTAAGCCCCTGTCCTTAATCCATTTGATGCTGCTGAGAGAAGGAATAGACCTTCACAGCACTTGATAAAAAGGTAATCATGTTTTTTAAAAATCCTGTGCGGGACCACATTCCTGCACCATACTGGGTACAAGTGGATTTCTGCTATGACCTACTGAGGACAACAGGGCTCTCTATGGGCACAGAGTGTATTATAAGTCTCAGCTGCTGCCGCCTCTAGCTGAACATAGTAGTAATATAAAACTGTCAAACACAAGCTTTCTACAGCTGGTTTTCTGTTATAGAATAGTTTGGGTTGGAAGGGACCTCAAAGATCATCCAGATCAACCTCCCTGCATGGGCAGGGACACCTTCCAACCTGGATCAGGTTGCTCAGAGCCCCATTCAACCTGGCCTTGAAAACTTCCAGGGATGGGGCTTCCACAACTTCCCCAGGCAACCTGTTCCAGTGTCTTACCAACCTCATAGTGAAGAACTTCCTCCTAATGTCTAGAGAAAAGGAAGGGAATAGAGGGGCAAGGAGGGGAAACAAACAGGCTCAATTACACCGGTTTCACAGGTGCATAAGTAAAGATGACTGAAGGAACCTAAGCAGTGTTAGGCAACAGGGGTAGGAAAAGGGACACAAGTAGCATGTAGAAATGGGAAGCAGAGCTGCTATCTAAATAACACTTCAGTTACCATTACTCATGACATGAAAATAGGAAAGTCTAGATGAAGCTGAGCTGGTGAAGCTGTTTAAATTAAAAAAAATATTTCTTGTGCAATAACATATACTCAGGGCATTATGTTCATGATTTATAAACATTTAGACTCCATCATACATACATGGAGACCCAGTGACTCAAACAATTACAAAGCCAACACCCTGTCTTCCAAGAACTCTGGTGAAAGAATCACCTTCTGTGTATGCAGGCATAAAAAAAAAAAAAGAAAAAAAAAAAAAGAGTAGATTGCTGGCAGAATGCTTGATCAACAAGTTCAATTCTTACAAAATACTTGCTTCATCCAAGTTATGGAAGGTCAATATCCTTGAAAAAGATAAATTATGAGGGAAAAAATGAGGGAAGTCACTAATTTTACATGGATTTTTTTTTTGTATTTTAAATACTGCTTCCCAAAATTATTTTTAGTATAACCTTACAATTTAGATGACAAATCT